TATATGTTAAACTAGAGAACTTTAGCTATTTTTTGAGCTAAAAATAAAAAATATTTGTTAGTAAAATTAAAAACTTTATATGTAAGGAAAAATACGTATTTTACTAATTATAATCAGTAAAAAATTTAAGCGTTGCATTATTTTGATTGCCACTGTATTTAAATTGAGTTAAAAATTGAAAGATCCCGGCAAAATCTTCACGCTATACCGAACGTAATGTGTTTTAGCTTAGGGTCATTTTTTCTTAAGTACATGTACAGTACCCACAGAAAGTATCACCTGATGCAAAATTAAAAATATAAATTTAGATCATTTTTCAATTTATTTGATTTTCGTTAATTTATACACCAAATAAAAAATAAAATTTATTTAATATTTAATCGGCTCTCCATTTGACTCTAATATTACATTAATTCTTCGTGGTATTGATGCAGTAACCCGTTCTAAAATGGCCACATCAAGTTTTTCCTACTCCATCTTCAGTGCAATCTTAAGTTCGTCCATAGTCGTCGGAAAGTTCTTATTTTTTGAATATTGTCCTTTAATATCTTTCAAATGTTCTCTATTGAATTCAGGTCTGGGGAATTCGCCAGCCAATTAATAATCAAGTTTTTATTTTCCCTTAATTTTTCCCGCAGTATGTATCGGCACATTGTCATGTTGAAAGATTGCGTAACTTCCAGTTACTGTAATTTCTGGAATGGAAGTAATTGAGTTTTTAAGATTTCGAGGTAAGTATTTGCAGTTATTTTTTCGCCATTTTTTATATTTATCACGGAATAATACAGATTTCCATCCACTTTTAAAGGTGATGCCATATAATTAATGTTAAACATTTCTCCAGGATGCTGCCAAACTCTTGGCTGCCAGGATTACTTTTCAATTTCCACATTGGTTTCATCAGAAAAAATTATTTTCAACAAATCATAAGCTGATTTATTTTTATTTTCTTCATATCATTTAATATGAGCATGTGTATGTTTTTCCTAGATAAGGTTTCTTTGCTGTGATATGTGAGTTAAGTCTGGAGTTATACAATATATTTGCGATGGTAGATAAACTACAAGTGAGGCCTAAATTGTTGACTATTTCATATAGTAATGCATATCATTTTTTCACTTGCTTCATGTATAATTAAATCCTTTTCATGATTGTTTAAAAGTGATAATCTTCCTGAATGTGGTAGTTTTCGCTTTTCTGGTTCATTTATATTTATTTAGAAAGCAGTGTACATTATAGGGTTGCATCTGAGTATTTTTGGGATTTGAGCAGCATTTATGATATCTATATATGCCAAACTCTATATATGGATGGACATCATTTTTAGCCTAATGAAATTATAGTATTGACAAAGTGGCAAAAGATAAATAAAGTGATGTTTATTATCAAAAAAGGAAGAAAACTTGATAAATGTATTTTAAAAAATGGTTACAAGTAAATTGGAGATACATATACTTTCTATAAGTTCTATATATATAGTTGATATCTATTGTCTGACAAAGCATGTTGTGAAGCATGATAGATATAGTATTGTTTATTTTTAATATAGTTGCAAAAAAATGACCTTATATTATTTGAATAATTATTCAATTCGTTATAATCAAAAAATTAAAGCATATATATATATATATATATATTCTTTAATATCTAGAGAACAAGTTTACTTAAGATCATAAACTAAAAAATCTTATCGACACATTAAACGTGCTTGTGTACGTATATGTTTACTATTGCATGTGATATAGATATCAACACGTAATTATTTTCAATCGAAAATTCAAAAAATTGACTAAATAACGTAATAGTGATGGAATCATGACGGTACGGTTTGAAATATCGTATATAATTAATAAAATTACTATTTCAAAGTTTATAAGCCGAGCAACCAACGTCTTATTGAAATGTACCGAAAGAATCAATAAACGGGGAAAGATTTGTTGCATGTAACTCTAGCAGATCTGGCATCTGAATTTAAAATAGATATTGATGCAGAGCCTACAGGTCTCAGCTTGTATGTTTTAAAAGAGAATAAAGCCATTACCGCTATTTGGTATTTGTTTTATAAACTTGGTATTGATTTTTCTTTGGCTGATACCATAACAAGAAAGCAACAAATTTGCAATGAAACATTTAAAAAAAGACATTTCGATGAGAGCAGCAAAACAATGCCTAGACTTGTGATAATACTTTGTAATTCAATCGTCAAAAAAATAAAATGTTCTATTCTATCATTACGCACGCATGATTAGATTATACACTATTAAGATTATCATTTGTTAAAGAGAATTATCACTGTAGTAACTCCAAAACTATCGCCCAATTTATTAGCATAATAAACCTTTGCGTTTCTTACAATGGCTTACTTATGAAACGGAATACGGGAAAAAATTGGCAAGATATAAATATTTCACCATTGAAGAATTCTATGGAGCAAAAGAGTAAGTGAACTTTATTCGTTAATGATAATGAGAATGTATTTTGTTTGTTGTGACATAACATTTTGTATTTGATAGTTTTAAATCTCGTATTTCCTTTAATTAATTCGCGTTAGATACTATTTCTTTAATAATTTTATTTTTTTTCCTTATAATTAATTTCAATTTAACGTTAACGTTTTTTCGGGTAATTCACAGGGATTAGTTGATCAGGTGAGTCTTTTAATAATTTTCATTATCGTTATTCGTATTTCGTTATATTTACGAATCGACGCCGTCGCTAATTCCTAAGAAGAGCATCTATTATTTATTTTAATCTTTTTTATTATTTTATCATTTTAACAATCAACATATTGGGATACAGGATATTTACAATCTCGTATGTAAATATTTGTTATTTTAACGTTCTCTTAACTTAATGGCGGGATAGATAAGAAAAGGGAAATTCATGTATCAATTAGTATCTTTAGTCTCAAACAAGCGAATACATGTAATTTGATACTTCTGATGCGGCGTAAATTACAGTTAATATGCCGCCAATAAATAGTAAAGCTTAAATAGTTTTCATCAAGTTACCGTTACTAATGCAAGAAAAAGATATTTATTCAAAAATAAATTGTGTGCAACTTTTTTTTCCCATGACCAATTACCTATAATTGACTTTCATGTGAAATCTGACTCGGCCAACTTTTGGGCAGCAATCTTTTCACCTTATCTCTGCCAAGGATAATATTTGCTCATGACACTTCTTCTAAATTTTGATATTTTTTTATTTGCACATGTTGATTTATCAAACCATGTAAAGTTGGGTATGGAAGCAACCAATTTTGATGGGTTTATATATCCAATTATCTTTTGCCTAATGCAAAAGGGTCCTCTCTTCTTTTGCAGAGCAACAAGTAGCAAAAAGTTCCCAGCGGCAAAAGGTAGCGAAAATTTTTTTATCAATGCTATTGCTACAACCATCATCACCAAGTGGTATTAAAAGGTTTTTCCCATCAACAACAGCGACAATGATAAGCGGTAGCAAAAGTTTTCGTCCGCCACGCAACGCATTCACAGAAGTTTCCTTGTCCTCGCCATTATTGTTACTTTTACAATTGTTCCGTCAATACTTTAATTCTTGAATGCAACTAATTTTGATGGGTTTATATTATAATACCACTTGGTAAAAAGACTCGCTACCTCTTGTGGTAGCAAAAGTTACCCTCTCCACGCAACGAATTTTCATCATTCACAGAAACTTCGTTGTCCTCGCCGTTATTGTTGCCGTTACTGTTATCATTGTTCCGTTAAATCCCTTAATTCTCGAAATTATGGCAAGATCGGCCGGCCCTGTGTCTGTCCATCTGACTGTACATTTTTCAGCGCAATCGATCACGTAACAAACACTGTACATTTTTCAACACAATCGGTCACGTAATATTATGCATTTTTCAGCATGTTCGTTAGCACAATCAATCACGTAATTTTCATCACATTTTTCAGGACAATCTGTGTGAAATTTCAGAGCATTCTTCTGCATAATTCTTTTGGCATGTATTATTTTATTATGATTTTTGTCCAAAATTTATCGATGTAATAATAGCAATCCTTTAGTTGATTAAGTAAACGAAAATGTATAAAAATGTACGGCTTTTGGGTTCAACAATAAAACAAAAAATTAAAACTAGTTTTTCTCACAGAAGTAAATTGCGTGCAGTTCCTTAAAGGAATAATATTGTGTAAAATTTTTCTCCAAGTAATAAGATACTTGTAAAAACCTTTCGTTAAGGCTTCGTATTCGTGTCAATCGTAAATTATAATCACATCATATTGGTTAGGTTCTTTACGTCAGAAATGAATCATATTGGCTAGGTTCCTTTGATTCAGAAAAGGCAACGCATCAAATGATTGATTTTTAGCTAGAAAAAACATTGGTTAGAATTAATAGAAATGTTTTATACGAAATAGCTTACCCAAATAATCCCACGCCCAAATCATATTCACTTACGCTTAACCGCACAGTAATTACAATTAAACAACATTATTATATAGCATAGAATCAGTTGATATCGATAGGTATAATAATTATAATTAGACCGATTTCATATTCTTTGTAAATAACAAAGAAGGCACACTTTAAATGCATGTCTGAATAATAAATGACTTGTAAAGAAAATTTGATCGTGGATACATGTCTGAATCTTACGCTTCATTTCATTAGCCCGATAAATTTCACTTCACACATAATCATTTTATATAGTGGAACCTTCTGATCGCAGTGTTGTAAAATTTATTTTCTTGTTCCCTATCTTTTATTACCAGTTTATTGTGAGTAAATAATTTCTTTATAAAAGATAATAAAAACCATATAACATGTATATATAAGGAAGGAAGGTGATGTGATATCAATTATAATTTCGCATTTTGCCCAGGATATTTTAAAGAATCGTAATATAGCATAAAAACTCAAGCGATACCTTAAAATGTAAAATCCTCTTAATACGCTGAAAACTTATTTACCATAACTTCCTTCTCTTAAATATTCTTGGCAACATAAATGTTTTAATTGTCTATGTGGTTCTTGATACTTTTAATGCTTTATCGTAAACGATATTTTTATAACAACAAGAATTATGACAAACATTTCTTATAAAAAAGATCGCACTTGTACGCTAAAAATTTATTCTACATCTCAAAATAAAATAACAATAAAAAAGAAACAAAATCTTTTAGTTTACGATGACATCCTTCAACCGCTGGTGTTGTTATGATCTTAGTAATATGCTTCTTTATTTCATCTAACGCACAACCCATTCCAAGTACAATGCCACCAGGTCTATTGCCAAGTATATTTGACAAAACAAATGGCTTCTGGTCTCCGGTGTTCGAATTTAAATTGGTATGGACTGATTGTTCCGGCGGAGGTGGTGGCAGCGGCGGAGGTGGTGGCGGTGGAGGAGGTGGCGGTGGTAGCTGCTAGCCGACTTAATATTTGTAGTTTTACACTATACATAAATGCGTGTACATAAGAAGTATCGTAAGCGTAATTTATCTATATTGTTGTATAAAAGATAAGAAATTGTATATATTGTATATGGGTCTACAAAAATATCGAATATCATAATTAAAAATTAAAATCCACGCGTTTTATTGTAACATAAATCCAACATGGTACTGACTTTTTGCATATAAACTCTTTATGAAAAGAAATGTACATGTAGTTAAAATGGCTCGTCTCTTCTCCATGTTATTACATAATTTGATTAATATGCATAATTTTCTAAATTGAAGCTGACCAATTATTGCATGTATATTATAGTATTATTTCGATAATGCCTAAAGAAATAAGCAAGCTGCGCCCCTGTCCTACCAGTTGACGATTTAATGCGAATTATGTACAGTATGTTCTACCAGCACTATATTTTCAGCATGTCTTACCGCACAATCAATTGTGAGATTTCAGCCTCTTTCTTGGTACGATCAATTGCATGATTTCGACATATATTTTTCCGCACAATCGGTCGCCCATTGTCCCATACAATCGAACACGTAACTAAAATACATTTTTAGCACAATATTTGCGAAATCTCAATTTCAGCGTAACGTTCAAACATTGTTCTTTTAATATTTTGCTTATTCTTAATGCAGCTTTTAGAAACGTAATATCGATAGGGCAATGCAATTTTGTAATAAATTATATACTTAATTGGATTAAATAAAAATTTCACACATTAAATTGTGACCACAAAAAGATTATTATCAGATTCGTAAAAATGTTCTTTCAAGCATAAATTTTTGTTCAAGCAGGAAACATTTTTAAATCTGAAAAATGCCTTTAATCTTACTAGTTTATAATTTATTATGCGTTTTGTGAATATGCCTTTCTTCAAGCAATTAGACGCACATGCTGATGTGAATTATGCTAAAAATGGGCAAATTATGTGTATCGCATCGCGGAATACATGTAAAATATCATCATACATATTCAAATTTATATAAATCCATTTCGTTGCCATAACTGGGAGGATGGTTTGTGTAATGGTTGACTGTAATGCAAAATAAATACCCCCCGCATTTAAAGAAACAAGTTTAAAAAACAGGTTGATCTGATCTATATACTGATTAGATAACTACATGTATATTAATATGTGCGTGTATAACGATAATGTGTTGCAACAGTAGAATAAGGGTTACATGAAAGATAACGATAAGATAATCTTTTGATAATTACTAAAAATAAATACATGTACAGTAAATCTTTTCCTTGACAAAAAATACTCTTGTGATAATACACAATGTTTTCTTTGGTGATTCTCAGCAGTATACTTCTAAATTCCGTAACTATTGCAAGTGCATTCATTGCATTCTATGAAATGAATATTATAGCTCACTTAAACCAACATCAGTATATAAAGTTCTCTGAAAAAAAGTACCGTCCATACTACGATACACCTCATAAACAATAACTCCTTTCAAATTTGAAATTTTCACTGGGCGTTTCTGTATCTGTGAATGAGATAAAGGATGTGTGTATGACTTCTTATGAAAACACCACACCACCATAGTTATTTCTATCGTTTTTATTTTTTCAATTTGGCAGTAAATTCTATACTAGAGGTTTTCATAACATCATATATTTATGTATAATATATCTTTTCCATAATACACAAAATATGTATTATCCTTCAATATAATTTTTATATTTTCGATACTTTTATTAGAGTATTAGTTTTTCTTCGTATGTATCTCTTTAAATTTGAACTTTTTTTGTCGTATGCACCTACCTTAAAACAAAGTTTATTCTTGTTATCGTCTTAATTGAAAAGAAAACTACTATAACAAAATTCACTCTATAAAAAATAATCTTTTTATTATAATCGAATGTGATACAAATAACATATATAAAGAGTAAATAAACATTAAAAACACATTATTAGATTGTGCACTTTTTCTCACTACAAAATAGACAAAAATCCACTTGCTGATTGACCAATAACTGTCAATGAGTTTTGGAAGTGTGAAATGCATGATGCCTTCACTTTAATTTGCATCCTCTCTCTTTTGGTATATAGGCATATTGTTCAATTAAAAAAATTGATAAACTTGATCTATTTTGCATTCTAAATGTTTAATAACCAAAGCTATATTTATTTATTTTGTTTTAAATCTGATTTGCATAAAAATTTCAAGATAAATATAATATTAAAGATTTTTATTAAGAAATCAAGTTAGATTCACTAAATAATAATATATATACACTTTCCAGTCAAAATATCTGACTATCTGATTTATGATTATAAATTATTGTCTATTAAAATAAGATTTATATTAAAACTATTAAGCATAAAATTTTTTTCTTATGCAGCTCTTATCTTTAACTATTTAAAAATATATTTTTTTCTTTTACAATATTTAAAAGATATAAACTTACTAGTTTGAATAAGAAAAAATTATAGATTTCTGAAAAGAAGTTCATAATAAATAAAATATTAAAGAAATTCTTAAATTACTATTCATAATATCATGAAAAAATACAAAAATTTAAGAAATATTACAGATATTTTGCATTTAGAAAGATTATTAAAACTTATAAAAACAGAATATGAAAGTCTTATAAATTAGTTAAAAAAGATTAAAAATAATTACTAGAGTAAATTATAAAAATATTTAGCAAATCTTTATCAATTTAGTATTATAAATCATATTTTACATATTAAGTAATTTTATGAATAAGCTAGAAAGAGAAAATTATTTGTTTTTGAAAAAACTTTAAAAAAACTAAAATAATATTATAAAAGAAAATATTAAAATAATAAGTAAAATTTTATTATTTGAAGTAATTTATATTATTTCAAATCATAAAGAAAAAATATAAAGTTAAAAATATTCTTAATAAAAGAATTTATTATTATAAACTCTAATATCTTATCAAATAACTTGAATATTTTCTTATAATACTACTTAAAAATCTCTTAAAACTTAAAAAATATTATGAAGAAAACAAAAATCATATACTTGAATATAATAATATTTTATATAGAAAAATAAGTAATAATTTCAATTGAATTATATTCTTTTAGATTAGATATTTATTTTATATTATTTATATTATATTTTATAAAAATTAATTTAACTCTAAATATATAAATAATTATTATATATTAAATTAATTAATTTTATATATATTATTATGCAAATAATTATTATATATTTTATAATTTCAAATTTAAATTAATAATATTTTTAATTAAATTTATTTATTATTATTTTTAATTATTTTTCTTATTATTATTTGTCATATTTATAATTATTATTAGTTTATTGAATTATAATTAGTTACTTCTTGGAAATATAAATTAAGTTAATTAATTTATATATATTTTAGTTATTGATTTATATATATTTTATATTTATTTTAAATCTTATGATTTTTATTATTTGAATAATATTCAGATCTAAATTAAAAATGCAAAATAAAAAGAATTTATTTATAAGTTTTATAATTTAAAATTATTTACTTCATATTTATAAAAATTAATAAAATAATTTTATAATTATTAAGAAATTAATTATCAAAATTTATATATTTTTATCCAGTTTTAAAGTAATTTAATACTTTTAATTAGAAATTATATATAATTAAATTTGAAAATTTAAAATTCAAGAAGTTTAAATTAAATAATTAAATTAATAATAATAAAAATAATTATTAGATTATATAAAATTAATTTTTTAATTCTCATAATATAAAATTTAAAATGATTTATTTATATAATTATTAATTTTATTTTCTAAATTTTATATAATTTTTATTTTTAATAATATTAATCTGATCAGATTATAAAAATAATAAATTTGATTTATTTAATCTTTATATATATATATATATATATATATTATTATTATTATTATTATTATTATATATAAATACTATTTTTATAATTATAATTTAAATAAATAAGATTTAATAAATTCAATTATTTAAAAATTTATTTATATTTTATTATTTATTTTAATAAAAATTATTATTAAATAATAGAAAATTTATTAAAAAATAATTAAAATAATATTTATTAGTATAAAATATAACTTTTTAAATTATAATTAAAGCTTTTTATAGTTATTATACTTAGAAAAATAAAATTAAATTATTATAAAAATATTTTTAAATTATAATTAATTAATAATTAAAAAATAATAAAGAAAATTATAATCAGAATTTCTTGATATATTTTGTATTTTATATTTATAATTATATTTATAATTATATTATTTCTTTATTTTTATTATAAATTTTAATATAATATTTATAAGTATTAATATATAAAAATTTTTAAATAACTTAATTTTACTTAATATTATAAATACTTTAATTTATTTTCTATTTCTTATTTATAAAATTATATTTTAAATAAAATTTAACTTGAAAAATTGATTTATATAATATTTATAAATTAAATTTTGAATTTACTTTTTAGCTAAGAAGTTTATATATTTATAAAATATAAAAATATATTATATTTAAGTTAAACTTAAGCTTAGATTTGAAATAAATTTGAAAAATTAAATTAAACTTGAATTAGATTTTTTTATTTAAATCTGATTCAAGTTTAAATTAATTATTAAAATAATTTTAAAATAAATTTATAATTTAAAATTCTGAATTATAATTTTATATAAGATATTATATAATAAAAAAATTAATATTTATTAAAATATTAATATTTAAATTAAATTATTTTTATTTAAATTAAAATGATTTACTTTTATAATAATTTTTTTTATTTTTAATAAGAATTATATAAATAATTTATAAAAATAAATTATAATTATTTAAATAAAAATTATTTTAGTTCTATCTATTTGAAGTTAAAATTTTGAATAGTAAATATATTTAATATTTATAAGTAAAATTATAATTCTTATTTAGAATTCTAATTTTTATTAAGTTATATTATAATAAAATATGATTATTTATAAAAATATATTATACTTACTATAATAAATTATAATTATTTAAATAAAATATTCTAAATTAAAAATTTTGAATAATAAATATCTTTTATATTTATAATTAAAATTATAATTCTTTTAAAACTATAATCTTACTATTTTACTTATTAATCTTGAATCAGACTCAAATTTCAAGTTCAAGTTCAAACTAAACCAGATATTTTTAAAGTACTAGTCTTATTTATTGTATATTATTCTCTTAATAAAATTATTATTTTTTGATGTGATTAATATTTAATAACTTAAATTATTATAGTAAAAATCTGAATTTTATATATAAATTTTGCTATATTAATATTAATAGAATTTAATATAATATATTTGTTAATAAAATAATAATCTAATAGCTTTACTATATTAAAATTGACTTGTATTATATTATCTTTTGATCTTGATAAGTCAAAAAGCTTAATTAATATCTATACCAAAAATGTAGAAGTATTTAAAAATTAATTTTAAAAATTATTCTGAAATATAAAATTAATATTTACTTAAAGAAGTATTACTTTCTTTTAATTCTTTTGATTATAGTTTTTATTATTGTCTAACTAAATTAGATCTTGAAAAAGATCTTTAATTTCTGAGTTATAATATGAATTTTTTCAAATATTTTCAAATCGTTCTCTAAATCTTTTTTTATATGAATATACACCTATTTTTATCCTACTTTATGATTTCAAAAAACAATCAAACTTAATCAAAATAGTAGCCGATTTTATTGTATTAATATCCACTAAATATTATCTATTTTGAATTTTGATTAACAAAGGATATTTTTCAATAATTAACTTGAAATTTCAAATATTTCATTGTAAATCTTGTTTATATTATTTTGATTTTTCCTTGATTGTTCTAATAGAGAGATAAATACACAAAGAATTATAAATATGATTTTAGAATCTAAATAGATTTGCCAATAAACGATCTGGTATGAAATCCCGAACACAATTACCGAACTTTCATAAGCCTGACAACGAAATTCCACATCCCGAATAAACATCATTCTGAATGATTGATCGACATTCCGAATTCAAAAATCGTGATAATTTGGTATCGGTATTCATGTACCAGTACATGTATATTTTCGGATTTCGATCTTACGGATTTCATTCACTCGGGATTTTATTCATTCAGAATGCGATACTTTCGGGATTTCGCTTGTCAGGTTTATGAAAACAAAGAAAATAAGTTATATACGAATTGGTTCATATAGTCAAGTAACCTGAAAGTTTAAAAAAATTATGCTGAATGCGAATCAAACCCTCCACAATGTAAATAATGCTCGACTCATTACACCGGAACAATCAATGAATTGAGTCTAAATGTCAAAGCAAATGATTCTTCATAGTAAAAAGAACTTTAAACTTTCGGAAATTTTTGATGATCATGTAAATACTGAGAAGATGGGATGTCGATGCTGCTAATAAATTTGATTGATTATATCTCAACTGTACCTGTTGAATCTTTCACAGGGAAAAGAGCTTTTTCGCGCAAAATTTGTATCTAAAAAATAATTCAAACGTTGCATTTTATGGTATATCTATTGAAATACTAGAATCTTAAGAGGAAATATGTTAGAAACGGTGAGAAAAACCTAATTTACGTTGATGAAACTGGCACTACAGGTACAGAGTGATCTTTTCAGTTAATTGACTCAAATATTCTGTCAAATAAGCACAGTTCGAAATATATTAAAGAGGCTGTATTATTGGAGGATACGTATTTGAAACATTAGCAATATTGAATTATTAAAGTTACTTAACTTTATGTTCTTTATTTCAATTAAGGATGTAAATTATTTCATGCATTTTGTCTTTATCATGATATATTTCCGCATCATTTGTTTTATTTTTTTTGTACACGTATATCAAATAGAATGATTAATTGAAAGGAACTACTTAAACAAACTATTTTACCTTTATATTTTAGCTGACGTTGAAGTCGTTAGATATTAATTTTTTATTATTATAATGAATACCAACAAAAACTCTTTAATAAATTTTCAAGAAATCAAAGGAGATCTATTCGCAAATGCTCTTCCACATGAATCTCTTGCACATTGTATCTCAAAAGACATACGCATGGGTGCTGGAATTGCTCTTCAATTTGTGAAAAAATACGGTGGCGTCCAAGAATTAAAAGCTCAACGAAAAAATGTCGGCGAAGTTGCGTATCTGAAACGAGACGATCGATACATTTTCTATCTTATCACCAAGGAGATTGTTTACGATTGTCCAGAAAAAGGCGATTTTATTTGCTCGTTGCATTGTCTTAGAGGTCTTTGTGAACAACTTGGCGTTAGTGTGATTTGTATGCCACGAATTGGAACTGGATTGGATAAGTTACCTTTGGACTTTGTTCATGCATCAGTTAAGGAGATTTTTAAAGGAAGTGATATTGTTATTAAGATGTATTATATTTAATGACAGATGCGGAATTACATATATTAATTAAATTTTAGTTTAAAAATAATATTACATTACGTTTCGCTTATTGCTTGAAATAGTATATTTAACAAAATACTTAATAAATTATGGCATATTACTCTTTCAGTTGAAATAATATATCTTTAAATTCATGTATATCTTTGGTCTCCGAGTAAAATTATCCTATTATATTGCATTTGGATATGTCAACTTCCATGACCGAACTGATCGTATGAAGAATTCTTTTACCGAGGGAAGATTTACTATAACTGTTCCTGGACCCAAATTCGGTTTATTGAAGTTTTAATTGATGATTCACTTTAACAGGATTGGCTTGTGTTTATTACCTAAAATAAAAAAGTTTTAACGTCTGGGTAGTATTTAGGTATAGTAAAACCATACCTAATAAATTATTATATTCAATAAATAATTGGTTTAATCAGGTGAAATTTTTGGATCTCGAGTCATTGAAAATCTGTTTTTTACACATGATCACTTTGGGGTTCTATAACTCGAAACCCAGTGGCGGGAATCGAGTGTACAACCCACCATTCGATGCCCTAGGTTCTGTGAATCGAATGGTGGGTCTTACATTAGATTCCCGTTACTGGGTCTCGAGTTATTGAGGCCGTGAATCGTTAATAAAAAAATTAAAATCAAAATTCCAAGTACGGCCTCTTTGAAGCACAATAACTTGAGGCCTAGTAACGGGAATTGAGTGTAAGACCTACCGTTCGATTTCCTAGGTTCTGGCGAATCGAATGGTGGGTCTTACACTCGATTCTCTCGAGTTATTGAGTCTCAAGGAGGCCATGTGTGAAATTATTCATTATTGCAGATTTTATTAGATATTGTCACAGATGGATAAAACAAACATATCGATAATAATGTTTACAATCTCCTATCGAACAATATATTTATTGCATGTATTTAAAAAAAAATATACGTATATTTGACAAATTTAAATCGAGTGATGTTTATTATAATCAAAATGGCAATACTAATTCTTTAAAAGAGATATTAGTTCCCATTTCGCATTAGGATAAACTGCGGGATGAGACATGTTTTCTATTAAATTACTTCATCCCTATCCTCTTCTATATCTCTTCTTATAAACCGTTCTCTTTCTTTTAACATATCTGTCCATCCTTGAAATAGTGATCAAAATCTTCATCAATATTTAATAATTGATATCAAGTTCTTCATTTTCATTTATCGTATTTTCAAAGAAATTTTGATTTGATGTAATATTTGAAGTAGAAGCTTCGTTTGATCTTGAGTGGATAACTTCTGATAATTATTCAAAGGTTTCATTAAATGTATCCTGTTGGTCAAATTAAATCGAAGTCTGTGACTATACGTAATATCTGCATGTACTTTACTTATTTATAAAGACTAATAAAAATATCATTAATTTATCATATTAATTTATAACTATATTAATTATTATTAAACTTACCTTTAATCGATTACGATGATTTATATGAATAAATCACATACAATTTCATAGTTGTTCTACAGCAGCTGCATTTGTACATATTCCAAAAATTTGACTTGCTAGTAAACCCAGTTCTTCAGTTGATATAGCAGTAAAGCATTAATATTGATAAATATTATTTGAAAATTAGTTCCATATTGCTGCACCAAAAAGATATTTCCTTAAACGAAAATTCTCAATTCTTTTAAAAACATTTCAATTTTTTTCAAACCAAGCTTGATAATAATAAGCAAGCCATGAACCAAAATTAGTATAATTGATATTTGTGTTGAATTTTTTCATACGATAATTAGGATGAAAAAGACAGATCAAAATTAATATTGTTCTCAATCACGCCATCAACATTCCAATCGTGATATGAGTTGAGTACAAAGTGATAAATTATAATTTTTTCAAAATTGAATAAGATAATCCAAACTTGATGTAATTGTGCTGTATCAGATTGTAATATATTCAATAAGGCTAAAAAATACCAAGCAAATGGTGAATATTAATCCAGAAATTCGTAGAGCTAATAATTACATATATTTCATGTTTTGATTTTGGTTCATCTCTAGGACGTTGATGTGTTTCTTCAATAGGTAATTCAAACTTAATTCCAAGTATCTTTTAATAATTTAATATCAATAAATATATTATGAAATAAATAAAAAATAATAATATAATATTAATTGCAATGCTTTTTGCAATCTCACAAGATTGAACAAACAGCATAAAAACTATTCATCATGTTTCTCCAGAAGCATCAATTGTAAAATACTTTTCATATTCAGTATATTGTTCATTTCTCAATTTTTGTAATAAAAAATTTGTAATTCTGGTTCTTAAAATATGTAGCAAGATGTTCTGCTTATTTATTGATGGTAAAAATACAATTGATTGGTTTGTAATTTGCAAATGACATCTATGTAAATAACTAATTAGTTATATTTATTTAAAAATAAAGTGTATATCTGTATGCTTCCGCATTATCAGTTATAATAACAATTGCTTGTGTATTCAATATTATATTGATTTTTTTAATTACTTCTTTATGTGTTTCGCATTTTGAACTTATATTTGTTGCTTTCTAACATGTGATCTGCTCTGCCCTCTGACATAATTATTACTCTTTCTAATAAATATTTATTTTGAACATTAAGTCCAGCCATCAAAGATAAATGTAATGTCAATTTGATCTTCTTTAATGTAACCCATATTGCTTTTTCTGAATCTTTTATCGCTTCATTTAAAATTTGTTCTCCAAAAACATATTGACTTGGAAGCATGAAAAATGGATTAAGAAATTCAAATAATTTGTAGCTTCAGGCTTTTCAACCCATTGTAAAGTCCATCTACAGGAAATTGTAAGTTGATAAAATTTTTTCATATCTTCAGATGATAATGGTCTAATGATATAATTATCAATTGTGCTTAAGATGAATTTTAAACAAAAACCTTTGAAGCTGAAGAATGTAAAGTTGTACAGTTCTGGCAGAAAGTAATGATGGTGACACTTTCATGCATATTTTATGCAGTGTAGATCTTTGCTGAAATTGAATCAAATCTCTGATAAAAATATTGATTAATAAGGTAATGTATTACATTTTTTATTTTTACTCAATTATCAAAATATTTACTGAATCACATTATTTTTCCCCACAAATGACACATAGTACTATAAAATCAAACCATGAAGTCATTAAGTACTTTTGGCACAAAAAATACTGTAATACCACCAAAATAGCTAATAAATCCAGAGTTCCTCTTCATTCTGTTAAACGATATGTGTCTTTTCTTTGTAAAAAGGCAATATTCCAGCAATTCATCATCCTGGTTATCTGCGTAAAACAACACTAAAAAAATGTTACCAAATCGGAAAAATCTTAGAATCAAATCACTTTACTACTTTGGCCAAAATAAAAGTATGACTTGAAGAAATTCATCCAGATTTTGAAATCAGTAACTGAACTGTTTGTGACAAGCTTTTTAGGCTCAGTTATATTTTGATGTTGCCAAGATGTGTTCCACTTCTTACCCAACGTGCAAAAGAAAATCGATTTCAATGGTCACATGATCATGTCAATTATAATTGGAATAAGATCATATTCTCTGATGAAACAACTTTGTAGTTATCCTGAAATACCTGTCATGCATGATCTTGTTTTGGTAAATCAACTGCATCAATGATAAAACACTCATTTAAAGTTTATGTGTGGGGTGCAATTTGTGTACGCAGAAAAGTAGATATGCATATCTTTACACAAAATATGAACCATTATCTTTATTGTCAAATTCTCAATGATCACTTATATAAAAATGCAACTTGTATGTTTGGGCATTGGCGATGGATCTTTCAACAGGACAATGATCCCAAGCATATCTCAAATGACGTCTGAAATGATCTTGAAATATAACTTTCAAATTGCGTTTTGCCATGGCCATCCTATAGCCCAGATCTCAATCCTATCAAGAATATTTGGACAGTTCTTAAACAAAATGTGGAGAAAAGAATTAAAGGAATGGTGGCACAAAAGCAGAGTGTGTTACAAGAGATCTTCGTTGCATTAGTGAAGGAGGAATGGGAAAATCTTCCAAATGTGATGCTACTTAATAGTATTTGTAGCATGCAAAATTGCATTCAAGAATGCATTGCTATGGAAGGAAATCACACAAAATATTAATATTTTGTATATATAATAGTTTGATTATATTTATAATAAAAATATAATTTTTTTGGAGGTTAATTATTAGTTTTGCTTTATTTTCAATAAAAACCAACCGCCATTACTTTCCACCAGAACTGTAAATGCAGTTTCATTTGCAGAAATAGCAGCTTCTATAAAAAAGTTGGTTTGTAAAAACAGCATTAAAAAAATATAAAATAAAAAATTATTACAATAATTTATCTTTTCTTTTTCTAATTGTATTGAGAAAATAGGCAGTTCAACAAGTTTATAAATTCATTTCGTTGTTCAGGTATTGTTTCTGTAATAAATTGTGCACATTTCTTGAAATAGGCTATTATTCGGTCTTTTTATTAGGAAACCAATATTTGATTACTTCTGTTTTACCTAATATTTTAACACATGACTTGCAATATATTTTCACATTAAAGTTGTTTATTTTTTCATCAGTTTAAATAATATACTTATTTATAATCGATGGATATTACTTGGACGTTGGACAAAAATTGTCCATGTCCAATTATATTATCTAATTCAACATGTCCGGTGACAATTATGTTACGAACCTTTAGATATTGGACGAATATTGTCCATGCCCAATTATACTATTGGACATTGTCCATCCACATCACTGTTCAAGGGTATAGGATTGTATGTAGACATTGCTTTGACCGAATAAGCATAGTGATCAAATAGGGTAGTTTATCATTAAACTACCTTTCATGGACGATAAACTCATGAGACAATACCGTAATTCGCTGTGCGAAATACCCCGGGTCTTACATTCCACGGGCAAATTAATTAATAAAAAAAGAAAATTATTTAGTAAAAGGAGGTGGGTATACTATGAAGGAATCGGTTTGCATGACGAATTACTGTATATTCACACAGCTTATCTCCGGGCACGTTGGATAATTATAAAGGAATTCTAAGAAAAAATTTTCTGATAAAACCTACTTATTGTATGAGAAACACATCATTATATCAATTTACTTTGTCCATTGTCCAATTATTTTCTATCCTTCAAATATTTGAATCCTGTATAGAGATACATGTAGTAGATTATTCTCATTGGGAAATACGATGTCAGTTTCTGATATGGTCAAACCAGCTAAAAATGGTTAACAATCAAAAATCACGAACATGAGTATTTGACTCGCAACGTGTATTCAAACTTTAACCTCATCTTTTTAATAAACGATTGCTTTAATGATTATGTGTTGTGTTATGGTACTATAATGTTAAAATTATGATAAAGAAACAAATGCAATAATAAACTATGCTTATTTTGCTTATTTTTGAATGCGGATGATTAATGTAAACTCTACACATAATAAAATGTTGGTGCTTGGTTCAATTGATGTTGAATATTTGTTAATGCGAGATTGGTCTGTACGTCAGCGTTATGAAGTTGTTTCCTGGTTATGGTATCTATATCAGCGTTTCTGTCGCCTTTTATTGTTGGCGAATTCAATTCGAGCTTTACGTACTAACATGCACACGTAATAAAATAGTTGATGATTTAATTATAATAATTTATGAAAGATGTTAAGAAAGCGCTTACGTATTCCCCTGATTCGTGATGAAGTACCCAGTTAATAGAATTAGGGTTATCTGAAGCGTTTGCTTCTACAAATATTCTCACAAGTTTTTTCATTCGCTACGAAAAACAAAAACCACATTAATGCAACTATAATCCATATAAAAAAATCATATTAATAGGAAAGAATACTACCTTCCTTTGAATCCAAATAGACGTTATCCAATGACACTTAAACACAAGAACATATACAGCCAATGAAATCAAAATGTAACTACGCCAATAATACCACGAGTAAGAAACATAATAATAGCTTTTTTTTGCTCTCGCCTCTTCCGCGTTTACGTTACTTAGCGTTATCGGCAAGCCTATAACTATCACTGAAAATGTGAGTAAAGCATAAATCCAACGGAAGAAACCAACTGAGTATTTCTTTATCGTCTCATTAAACTCATTAATTCGAGCTTCGAATAATTCCACAGAAATCTAAAAGGATGGAAGTAAAGTATTAGGGTGGATTGAGACAACGTTGGTATTCTTGAAACCTACCCATTCTTGAATATCTGTGGAGTACTGCGCTTCAAGACTACCTTTAATAAGATATTGCTTAGTTAAACTCTTCATTTTCTCACTCATCTTGAAACAAAATTGATAAATGTTTAAATCTCTATATTACGGCGGTAAGTTTTATTACTTTTTTCTTCCGGTTTTCGTTCCCCGAATCAAATTTAAAATTTTAGCAATATTTGATATATTACTAATTCGACATGACACTCCTGAACCAAATTTAAAATTTCTTCTATTAAACCTATTATATAAAACGTTTGGCTCATATTATTAATCCGACACAACGCCATAGCTCTGTTAAGAATTTTCCTTGCACGAACATATCAAAACGTGCATAAAGATTTTACAAAAATTTTTAAGATGCTGTACTATGCTATACAGTATATAGTAAACAAATAAAAAGGACTCTTTGGAACACAGTGTTCTGATACCTTGAATTTTTGTTTTGGCCAGTGTGAAGATTATAAAATGTATAGATCCAGTTTATTTACTCGCCAGTTTTATTGATTAACTTTCGCTATACAACACGGATCTCCCCCCCCCCCCCCCCAACATCCCGACACCCAACATCCCGAAATTCCAACATCCCGACACCCAACATCCTGATAATCCAACTTCCCAACAATCCAACTTCCCGACAAAAGCCAATAATTGATAGAGAGGGAAGAATTATAAGTGTTATAATGATCGAGCAAATCGTTCAGTGTTAGATTTTCTTCGTGGGATTGCGCACAATCTTTCTTTGTAATGATATGTGTTGCTTTTATTCTTTTATATAAGATTTACATTCAATTTCCATAACTTTTTATTATATGTAATTAAAATTTACGTTCAATTCCCTTTTATGTTAAATCAGTTAGTTATTAACGAATTAAAAATAAAGTTGCGCAATTACTATGAATTATTTATCGCGTGGATGTTTAATGTTAATAAATGCCAGTTATCGATTCCTATAATGGACTAGTTTGTCGGGATGTTGGGTTGTCGGGATGTTGGAATTTCGGAATGTTGGGTGTCGGGATGTTGGGCGGCACTAGAGATGTGCCTATGCGCATTATGCGTGCATATATGCGCACACATATATGCGCATTATGCGCATAGTTACTAACCGATATCGTAAATGCCCATACACAATTATGCATATCGATATAGTAAAAATATATCGATATATATAAATTTTTTCATGATTTTGTAATTAAAATATTCTTGCATCTTGAGTCTCTCACAGATATGAATCATTTTTTTTAAAGCTACAGTTAAAATGATTACTAAAAGAAATAAGATATGTATATACTTGAAAATTTCCATTTTTATGTTTTATTATATAATTTGTTACTGCACATAATAAATCTATCTAATTGATTATGTGTGTTAATAAAGAACGTGAATTCAAAAGTCAGCATTAAATTATAATTAAGATAATTATACTATTTGCTTTTTTGCGGCCTTTTGACTTGCTTTCTCTTCGAAATTATGATCATTGAAAATGAACTTTATTCATTATATATATTTCTAATAGTAAATTTTATAACAATTTTGAAGTTTCATAAATATGCGCCAAAATTTCTAAATATAATACACCTTCTGTAGCAACTCATCCAATTCAATCATACAATACTCATCTCCCTGCATCACCGACCTCCGATACCACTTTATAGCTTCATGCAAATCACGATTAAAGCCCACACCATATCGATAAAACCTCGCCAAATTATACTGCGAAGCAACGATTCCACCCCGCGCACTCTTCAGAAACCAATAAAGCTCCCGATCCTTACAAATCTTTGTGCCAACTCCATTTTTATAGCAATAAGCCAAATTACACTGACCCGTTGTGTTTCCAAGTTGTGCTGATTTCATGTACCAGTTGAATGCTTCTTCGGGATCGCAAGCAACGTAAATTCCCTGTCGGTAGCACCAGCCGAGTTGGTTCATTCCAAATAAGTCGCCGTTGTTGGCTGCTATTTTATTATAATTGTACATTCGGTAATTGTCTTGCTTGGTGCCAACACCATATTGGTATAAAAGTGCGAGCATACATGCGTATTTTGGTGTACTGCTGACGACGGTACGAAGTGCGTCAAATAATTCAAGATCGAAAATTTTGTGTGTGGATTGATGCTCGCGGATGCATTGTAGTAAGTGCTGGTCTTCTTCACCTGGGTCTATGACTGAAATAAATTTCTTGTATAGCTGTTCAAGTAGATCAGGTCTTTTCTTTTCATTATCATCACTGTTTTCCTCATGATTTTTTTGAATATCGATATCATTTATATTTGTGGACATTATTGTTATTCTTAGAAACTGAAACCTCGCATGTTATATTTTACATGTACAGTACATGTAATTGGATCACAAACTTGATTAACCAATTATAATGTGCATGGGCGTTATTTTCGCTCTAAAAATAGCTGACATGTGTACGTACACCAATCAGTCACACAAATCGGTGAGTAAATTTTCTATATAATTTGAGAGATCTACATCTCATTATTTATATATAAATTACCTTCTTTAATCGTTGTTTTAAAGGTTTCTAAACAGAAACGCACTCATGGGATGCTATGCTACAGTTCAGTAAGACGAGTGCTTTCTTATGTGCAAGTTTGAAAAGGGATAAAAAATAAAGCTTCGCCTGCAAAGGTTATTTATCACGTTATAGTGTATAATAATGGCAACATTATAGAGCTTCCCATTTCACCAATTTGAAAAGATTTTTGGGTAGTTAATGACTATTGATGTAATTACAAACCACCAGAAGTGGTTACAAAGTATAAAGAAGAGTTGCAAGTTATTGAGAGTGGTTATAAGGCTCTGGGTTGGGTTGGTTGGATTACAACTGTAAGAGACTATTAGTGATAGGATATCAAAATGTATATATTCAATGATTTTTTGAAATGAAGAATAATATTCTCTCAATTTTGAGCTTATTTACTGTTGAAGAATATTGTCAAGTTAATAAATCATCTTGTTTGAATTCTTGTAATTCTAAAAGTTCAAGTTGTTTGAAGATGCAGATATTAGGACTTTCAAAAAATAATCTGGTCTCATTACTCAAATTTAAAAATATAATTGAAACAAATCAATATATATACCTAAATACTAATACATTTACTTGGTTGAGAACAAATTCCAAAAGATATTTAGATATAATTTGGTATAGTCAGAATCTAGTCTCAACTATCAGTCAATCAAGTATATCAGATCTATACTGAATTAAAACAGATCACTTGCTAATACAATCAGCTTTAATCTCTTTCCAATTCTATAAAAAACTCTCTTATTAGTTATTAAACAGTGGCAGAAAAAAAAATAAGCTTATATAATAAAAAATACATTCAAAGAAGATTGGATACAATTTAAGAAAATCATCAATGCACATCTCAAAATCAAGAAGAATTATGCAAACCAATTGATATCAGAGCTGTAGAATATAATAAAGCACATAATCATAAATACAGTTAATCAGATGTTTAAAAAAAATTAATATCATCCCATTAAATGCAAAGTGTCAAAAATATAGAGTTATAAAAAAAGAATAGATTAATTAGAAGTATTCTTTATCATCTAAATCAATACTAATATAATACCATAAAGTCAATAGCAAGCACACAAGCATGACTAATAAAGTTTTTCAATCAATTACATAGTCTTGAACTTATAGCATTCACATTTTCATTTATAAATATAAGTAATACTTATATATTATCTATTATATTACAACTTAAAATTCTAAAAAAGCAAGTATAGCAAAGAACTTTGAGAACAAAAAAATACAAATTATACAAATAGAACAGGTGATCAAGATTAATCAGGTCAATTTTCAACACAATCAAGAAAGAATACTGAATAATATTCTAAATAAAGAAGTCTTATCTATTTTAATTAACAAAATATATCAAAATGAACATTTTATAAAATATCTTATCAAAATTAAAAATGCAGTATGAGATTATTTTAGTTAATAATACAGAAAGCATAATATAAAAAGTTGACAATTATAAAAATAGAAAGATATTTATGAACTAATAGCATTAATAGAGAATCATATATTTGATCTAGTAATGGAATCAATTAAGATAGAAGAAATTCAAGAACAGATAGCATTGATTCATCCAAACAAAGTGACTAGAATCAACTTTATCAAAAATGTATTTTAATAATACTGTAAAGATACAATACACATGATGCTTACTATACTATTTAACAAATATTTAGAAAAATAAGATATTTCTCATAAATAGAAACAAATTAATATAATTTTTATATCCAAATCAACTGATTAGGAGAGAAATTTGGATATAATAAGACTAATAGCTCTTCTTGACATAACATGAAAGTTACTTACAAGAATTATTACTAATTATATATCAAATATCTATACTAAACACAGTATTTTCAAAGATAATAATTTCTCTGTACTCAAAAATACTACTATAAGCAGCCTATTATATATCATTAATAATATTATGAAAAATGTCTAAGAGTATAAAAAAGAGTTGTGATATGTATTTCAAGATATGTACAAAGTATATGACTCTGTTAGCTGGCTGATGTTAAAAAAAAGTTTACTTCACATAAAAATAAATTCCAGTTATATTAATTTACTAAAAAATATCTAAATGAATTGATTCAATTAAATATATATAGAATATAGGCTAACTAAGCCATATCTAATAGGAGATAGTCTTGATCAAGAAGAAGTACACTTACCAATTTTATGACAAATTTTCTATAATTCATTATTATGTATGATTGACTCTATTAAGAATACTTATGGATATAATATTAATAACTTAAGTATTTAATTCTCTTACTTTCAACCAGATCAAATTAATATCTGTATATTAAGCCTAGTATTTATAGATGATATAATGTGAATTTCTAATACTAAAAAAAATATGATCAGTATTCTAGAAATAGCACAAGAGTTCTATAATATCTGTGATATCAAAATTAATACTAATAAAATAGAAGCACTATCAATTAACTCATCAAAGCTAAGTGAAGATATTAAGCTATTCTTTTATCAAATGAAATCAGAGATAAAAATTATTTCAACTAATAACTATACCAAGTATCTAGAAATTCTAATCAGCTCAGATAGCAAGTTCAGAGCTTAGCAATAATAAATAGAAATAGAAGTCAACTCAATGATATTTATAATTAGAAAAAAATTTATTACAGATAAACAGGTAACATATATTTTTAATAGAGTTTTATTTCCTGCAATAGAATATAAAACTCAGCTTTTTGTTCTATCAAATATCTTCTGTAATATAATAATGAGAATAATTAAAAAAGTAATCAAACAAAAATCATTATTATTCACAGATTATCTTGACTCAATATTATTATACCTAGCATAGTTAGTATAAGATAATATTGGTGACATCCTGGCATGACATAAAATCTCAGAACTATTTTTTTAGCTCAATAATAATATCTTGATGGAGATGACTATCTTAATCAGATTATAGCAATTACAAATACAATATTGATCAGAAATCTCAGTATTAACTTTACCAATATCAAAGCCAAGCCCTATTGGAAAAAATCTAATTACAAGCATAATTCTATTAATGTATAATAATAATATCATCTTTTAATCTATAATTAATAATAAATAATATCACAAATAAATATATTCAGATGATTATTAATATAAGTATTAAATAACTAGTCAGATCATAGATCTGCTTGTAGAGTATTAGCTCAAGATAATTTACTATTTTTATCACAATTAATAAAATATAATGATATACAACTCATATTATGAAAATAATATAAATGTAAATATAGAAGCTCAGCATATGGATATGAATCAAAGTGATTTATAATCTTAAAATAAAGAGTAACTAATATAACTATATTTATAAACTTAATCATTGCAAATAAATAGTATGATATAAGACAAGTACAGTACAAAATATCAGATTATAAAATCTCAAACTATTTCAATAACAATTCAGATCTTTACTTAAAATAGCATTCTATGAAATCAAAAATATATATTACAAGTGATAAATTATTCTTTACAGATAGATCTATAGCTAATGCTGGTATACTAATAGTATTAGTTAGAGCAGCATAGATAATATGGTCTTCTAGATGTAATTTTAAGTTCACTATAAATAATCTAACATTCACTACTAAAACAGAGTTATTCATAATTTGCACTTTGTCAGAAATCATACTAGTAAATTCTGAGATCCTGATTTTAATAGATAGTTAATCAGTAATTCAAGAATTTAAGTATAATATAAATTATCAAGATAAGTAATCAACTAGACAGTTATATTAATAATTAAACTAGCTATTCTGAGAAATATTAGCATATAATATAAGTGTAACAAAATTAGATTAGTTATTAAAATTATATTATATTTATCTTTTATCTCACAGATCATTACTGCATCACATACTATGTCACATGTGATTTACTATATCACAATCACCTGATCATGCCAAGAAAAGTCACCTGATTTATTTGAGTTATTTTAGCTATAGATAATTTCTTAATAAAATTTCTCTTTTCTCTTGTTCTACTAATTTAACTAGCATATTACTATATTTATATATTTTATTTATGATCATTTATTACTTTATTTATTCATAAATAAGCATCTTCTGGAGGTACTACCATATAAGTATTTTCTATTATTAATTTATTTTTCTTATTATTAATTTTATGTAATATTAATTTATTATTTAAAGATGCTATATCTGTTCTGTATTTTAAAATAAATAATGAATACATAAATAAAGAATAAGTTTTAAACATAATTTCTTATCAGCTTTTGATTTAGTTTTCTGTGTGAATTTTATTTCAAATAATATTACTTATATCTTGAATCTTCTGTATGAATTTTCTTGATATAATATTATATTCTAACTTTTTTATATGAATTATCTAAATATATTATCTTATATAACAAAAAGGTTACAACTTTGGTAGCAGTGAAAAAGATTAATACTATATATATACACGTATATATACATACTTCCTAATACTTTCTCAATTGATAAATAATACATTACTTATTCATTATTAATACATATACTCATACACATATACATATACATACATAATGTCTGGTTCTGATATCTTAAGTAAATAATTTTAATAACTTCTTGCTGGTCTTACTAATCTTGTTCAACAATAGCAATAACTTATTACTGCTCTTGATAATGTTAGTAATAATGATAATAGTTAATATAACTCTCCTGCACTAAGAATTTCTCTCAAGATTCCAACATACAAAGAAGAACTACATAAGAATATT